TCCAAGTTCTCACTGGGACATCCCCAGACCCTTCTGGATGACTCCAGGACCACACGAGGACTCTCTGGCCCGTACCAGACTTTACTGGTGGGACATCTCCAGATCATCCCAGTGGCTCCTTGGAGCTCCTGAGCCCATCCTGGGAGCTTCCAGATCCTTCAAGGGATCCCCAGGACTATCCTGGAGACCCCCTGGACACCCTCAAGACCCCACTTGGACATCTCCAGACCCTTCTGGATGAATCCAAGGACCCCCTGGACCCACCTGGGGACCCCCCACGTGCCCCAAACCACTCTAGGACATCTCCAGATTCTTCTGCATTACTTCCAGGGGTGGATAGGAGAGGTTGTGGGAGGAAGAAAGGGGTTAGTGAGGCTTCTAGAGGTGGAAAGAAAGCCTGGGGGTGGGTAGGGGGGTTGTGGGGAATCTACAGGGGGAAAGGTGTGAATGGGGCTTCTGTGAGGTGAAGAGAGGGTCTGGAGTTGGAGAAAGGGTGGAAGAGGGAAACGGGGGGATTCTGGCATGCACTGTCTGCACGTGCTCTGCAGCATGCCCAGTGCAAGCAGAGAGAAGCAGCGTGGTGGTGGCAGCTTTGCACGGGAACCTGCTGTGCTGCAGCGTGAGCCTCTGGTCCTGCAGCGCTGGGTGCAGCCTGGCTCCATCCTCTCTGCTGATTTGCAGAATCAGACTCTAACCCACGTAAGATTATAAGATGTTCCATACACAAAAGCAAAGCGGAAAAGTTGTGAGGGGGTTTACCAATAAGAAGTAAGATTCCAGAAAGGAATAAACACATACAGAGAACCCAGAGGGATATTGAGGCAAAGGTAACAATGACTGCTACAAAACCAATGGTACAGAGAGAGAATTCACTGCCAGGAGTAGCTCACAATCCGGTGATAAAGATTCACAGCACTGGCTGCAAGGCTGTGTTTTAATTAAAAATGCTAATTGAAAACAGTATGGATTTCTGAGCTAACTGTACTTTTAGTAGGGGGGAAATTGCTAAATGGTGCTGCAAAAGAAGGCTGCAACAAGGGGCACAGCGATGGGGGGTTGTGCACGAAGGAAGCAAAGCCTCATGCAAACTGGAGGGCTGCGGGGGGTGGCACGCTACTGGGGCCAAAGCAATGGGGGGGCAGGGTGGGGAAGGGGAAGCAGGAATGGGATCTGGTGGGGGGAGGAGGAGGAAAGCCATGTGGCTGAAGTGTGCAAGATGGGATGGTGCGTTTGCACAGCAGGTGGAAGGGTGGCGGGCTGCACACGTGTGTGTGGCACAGGGGGTGGAGCAGAGTGCAGTGGCCAAGTCCTCCCTAGGTAACGTCAGGTGTCAGCAACAGCAGGAGAACTTGGAGCACTGCCTCCAAGAAGAACAATGCCAGGATGGCAGCTTGGTGGTCCGAAGCTGCATAGTTTCTACTCTGGACCAGCAGTAGTGCAGCAGCTCATGGAATGCCACTGGACAAATCAGGCCATGCGCTCTTTGTCAATCTCTAATTGTGACTATTTTTTATTGACTACAACCAAACATGGAGTGCCAAGTTGGGCGGCACTCAGAACGCTGCCCTGTAACTCTGCGTGCTGCAGCCGCTGCCTTCTGATGCTCTTCCTCTCAGTCCTTCAGCTGCAGCTTCTGCATCATCTCCACAAGGGTGTTCATTGCGGATGACTGGAAAGAAATAAGGCAAGTGTAGAGATAGGACAGAAACAATCTAGGGCGATCTCATTAAGAAAGGCTGATCAGTAAACCTTCCAGAACGGCCCCATGCAGCACAGCACGTTCCTGCCATTCAGGTCACTGACATTCCTTCCCATAACACGCTGCCTATGGTAAGATTCATGCTCTGCTGGGGGAACGAGGTCCCAAAGGTCACAGTGCCCGACATGGCAAGGTTCTTTATCACAGAAAAACCCTCCAGCCCTTACCAACAGTGTCCTTCTCAAGCCAGAGGAAGGCATCCAAGCTCCCCTAGGCAGCTGTCACTGACAGTGTGATTTCCTTAAACATACAGCTGGGTGTTTTTCTATTACATTGCTTGCCTTGGGATTCTGCAATATCTTTCATGTCTGACAGGCAGAGGCACTGAGAACAACAAGAGCCGTGTCTGTGCTCACCAAGGACTCACCTCTGCACGTGCAGCGTCAGCTCTCAGAGAAGCCTTCTTCAATTCCACTCTTCTCTCTTTTCGTTGTCTTCTTGCTATAAAGCAAGAATAAAACTGAATTCATTCTGTCAGCAGCAAAACTGCAGAAATATGGGTGCCATAAAAACAGATCCCAGAAAAAAGACAAAGGAAATTGGAAGCCTCTCAGTGAATGACATTTCCAGTGGAAAGGTGCAGAAGACTACCATGGAGTTAATGGAGTCGGGGTTACATACTGTGGCACCTCACTGCCTTTGGACTTTGCAGGCTTCAACTCTTTCCCCCTCTGCAGAGAAGGAAAAAGCAAAGCAAACCCTATGCAACTTCAGTGTACTTGATAAGGGCAGCACCTACCCTACAGGGTGGGTACCACAGCACCTTCTTACCTCTTAGCTTGGAGCTCCGTGCTGCAGCAGGCCCAGGCTGTGCTGCTGGAGCCGGCACGCTGTCTCCGCTCTGACCCCTCGCTCTTTTGGTAGCAGGCAACTGCGCTGCTGTTTGCTGCTCTTCTTCCAAGCCCTTGCGTTTACATCCAGCCAGGGACTTGGAGACAGAGCGGGGGCACGCTGCAAGGGAAGGTCTTCTCCCTGAGCTGGGACCTGCTGTTGTAGGAAGCCCTCCAGCCTGGAGATGAGCTTTCTCAGAAAGGACTTCCTGCACCGCTTTCGTGTAGATCTTTCCATTGGGCTCAGCACCTATCTCTGGCAAGAAAGAAGAAGCAAGAAGATATAACAAGAGTCCAATATTACTTTCAGTCTGCAAAATGGGTCACAATGCTAGCGCATCTCATCTGCAGTGTTCACAGTCACGGATCTTAGGATCATGGATGAACTGTGGATTTGTATTTCAAATCGGCACAGGAAAGGTAACTATAAGTCCCGGGGATTAAGACCCCAAGCAACACGCAGTGAGAACAGTCCCAGGA